GTTCTATTCTATTTTCTTTTCTATTCTATATTATTCTATTCTATTAAGCATTCTATTCTATTTTCTTTTCTATTCTATATTACTCTATTCTATTAAGAGTTCTATTCTATTTTCTTTTCTATTCTATATTATTCTACTGTATTCTACATTCTATTCTGCATTCTATTTTCTATTCTGTTCTGCATTCTATTCTATATTCTATTCTATTCTGCATTCTATTCTATTTCCTATTCTATTCTATATTATTCTATTCTGCATTCTATTCTATTTCCTTCTATTCTGTTATTCTATTCTGTATTCTATTCTATTTCCCATTCTATTCTATATTATTCTATTCTATTAAGCATTCTATTCTATTTCCTATTCTATTCTATGTTATTCTAGTCTGCATTCTATTCTATATTACCCTATTCTGCATTCTATTCTATTTCCTATTCTATTCTGTTATTCTGTTCTGCATTCTATTCTATTTCCTATTCTATTCTGCATTCTATTCTATTTCCCATTTTATTCTATATTATTCTATTCTATTAAGCGTTCTATTTCCCTTTCTATTCTATATTATTCTATTTATTAAGCGTTCTATTTCCCATTCTATTCTATATTATTCTATTCTATTAAGCGTTCTATTCTATTTCCTATTCTATTCTATGTCATTCTATTCTACATTCTATTCTGCGTTCGATTCTGTTCATTTTCTATCCTCTATTCCATTCCATTCCACACTTGGCCAATAAAGAATTCTAATCCTAACGATGGTAAGAAAGGGCCTCTTGTGTGTGTGTCTCGTATTCCTGGATACCTTCCTAGTAAATGCCACCCGTTGAACTGCAGACCTATTTCCCTTCTTCCCCTTCTCGGTAGGGAACGTCCAATCCAGACGGCTACCTCTCCACCCTCCCGGGTTCCAGCGTGGTCTTCCACTGGCCACGCAACGATTACGACCAACTCTTGTGCGTCCGGCTGATGGACGCCCCCAACTGCATTTGGTCCGGAGGCTTTGAAGTCAACAAGAACAATTCCTTCCACATCAACATGAGGTAGGAAACGAACAGGGCTGTCGCGCCTCGTTGTGACCGTTGTGAGTCCTGTTGTGTTGTTGCTTCCCTGTGTTGCACCCCTCACAGTCAGAGTGACTCTTTGAAGTCGCAACAGCACTGGAAAAAAAGGGACGTTTTTCACACTTAACGACCATGGCACCGTTCCCCCCATGGTCATGTGATCAAAATTCAAATGCTTGGCCACTGACTCATATTTATGACGGTCGCAACGTTCACGCAGTCCTCCTTTGCCACCTTCCGACGAGCAAACTCGATGGAGAAGCCCGATTCACTTAACAGCCGTCGCTCGGCAGTAAGTGAGTTTTACCCCATGATACGACCTCCCTTGCCACCGTTGTTAAGCCAGGCACCACAGGTGTTAAGTCAGCACCACGATTGCCAACCGAATCCGGTTTCCCTATACTCTTGGCTGGTCAGAAGGTCGCAAAAGGGGGTCACGCTGCAACTGTTGTAAATATGAGTCAGTTGCCGAGCGCCTGAATTTTGATCACGTGACACCACCCCCACGGTCCCTTTTTTCAGTGCTGTTGTAATTTTAAATGGTCACTAAATGAACTGATCTATGTCAAGGACTTTGGTTGTTGTTAGTTGCGAAGTCGTGTCCGGCATGAGGCTCTTCTCCAGGGAGTCCTTCTTCCTTCTCATCAGGTGGCCAAAGTATTTTGAGATTCCTCTTCAGGATCTGGCCTTCTAAAGAGCAGTCAGGGCTGATCTCCTCTAGGACTGACCGGTTGGATGGCCTTGCAGTCCAAGGGACTCAATGCAGGAGTCTTCTTCTCCAGGGAGTCCTTCTTCCTTCTCATCAGGTGGCCAAAGTCTTTTGAGTTTCCTCTTCAGGATCTGGCCTTCTAAAGAGCAGTCAGGGCTGATCTCCTCTAGGACTGACCGGTTGGATGGCCTTGCAGTCCAAGGGACTCAATGCAGGAGTCTTCTTCTCCAGGGAGTCCTTCTTCCTTCTCATCAGGTGGCCAAAGTCTTTGAGTTTCCTCTTCAGGATCTGGCCTTCTAAAGAGCATCCAGGGTGGATCTCTTCTAGGACTGATGGGTTGGATGGCCTTGCAGTCCAAGGGACTCAATGCAGGAGTCTTCTTCTCCAGGGAGTCCTTCTTCCTTCTCAT